CATAGACCAAGAAACAAGCAAACAAAACAGAAAACAAACGAAAAACAATCAGTGGAAACAAACACTTCCCCACCTCAAAGAAAAAAACCCATGGTTTCTGGCTTTGCTTTCTCCCTACTTTCTGCTCATTTCCCTGCTTTTTTTTTTTTCCTTTTACTTCCCCTTTCCTCTCATAATGACAAGTCCCACCCCCCACTTTCTCATGTCTCTTTTTTTACCATCAAAAAAGGAGACTCTAGGATAGAGAAGAGAGCAATTCAAAGTGAGCATTAAAAGTGGTCTTGACTTTGGATACTCAGCTGAATAATTATTTTCTCTCTTTTAGGTTTTAGTCTTCATTTTGGTGGACCCTATATTTTTTTCCTTGCAACACCACTTTATATTAAATAATTCCTGTGGCTGAGACTGTTTGCCCTTTAGGTCATCAATACCTGTAATCTATAACTACATACTTAGAATTCAATATCTAGCTTCTTCTTACCAGCAAATTGCAATTATTGTGCAAGACTTTTCATCCCTAAAAGCAATTGAAATTGATACTCCCCTGTTTCATGCACTTTCTTTAGTAATCCATTCCAAAATGAATTATACCTTTCTAAATTACGAAACAATTACAAACTTTTATAATTATCACAAGTTTTAAAAATCTTATAATCATACAAATGTTAAGGCCTACAAAATCTTCTCTTTTTTTAAAAACTATACGTGTTTAGTCAAAGTACAGTCATATAAGTTGAGGCAGACAGACTACTATTTTTCTCAATCAGTAGTGATGACTAGTTGACCTTCAAGGGACATACTGGGGAACAAAGGAGAAACAAGCACTAAACTTTAGTAGTAAATACAGATCACGCAGGAAATAGTAAAGAAAATGATAGAAAGCACCAACTCGGAATCTAGGAGCTGTGAAGGGTTTTTAAGTTATTGGTAAACTGCAAGTAGTTCGCCATGTTATTGCCTTCGCATTATTTACCCTTAGAAGTTACAACACATCAGTGTAACTTTTCTAGGTAAAATAGTACAATAGTACAATCAGACTTTCTACAAAATTTCTACTCCTTAAACTTATCCTAGTGTAACTTGAACAGGTCCTATAATCTACTTCTTTAAGCATTTTATAATTTCTTTTTTTATCTTCCTTGATAACTTGTACACACAGCTCCAAAGGCTGATGGATAAATGTTTGATCATTGAATCAATCCTTGAGCATCTCAAAGCATAATGATCCAAAAAAAAGCTAAAGTTTGAATCTTTTCACCCTACTTTAGTTAGAGCAAAAGTTAATACCTTTTTAATATTTTCTTTTACAACTTAAAAGATGTCAATGGGCTATCATGCTTTTTTTCTTTAGGCTATAAACAACTCTGTGGTCCGACTAATTTGAAATCATACCAAGTAAATATACAAAATAAGATAAAGCGCTTTATAGTTTATACAAAGAAATTCTTTTTTCCTGGGGCTTGAAACTGCTACTATTACACAGGCTTCATATATCCCAAATATCTTAATGTTAACAAATTGATCATATTACAAGACAAGAGAAATAACTCAATGCTTACAATAGAAGCATTGTACACAAAGACACTGCCTCTTTTCTTGGCATCTTTAACCAATTGTTATCGTGGACAACGAAAGAGTCAAGATTCCTTGCCCTTTCCTCTACTCTACCGTCGACAGCTAGGCCCCTTTGCTAATCCCCATTGATAGCACCCTCTCTCCTTACTGTTCACTCATGTGAACTCCTAAAGAAGCTAAAAATTATAAAGAAAAATTTTTATGGCCAAAAGTTGCAATTCAAATACTCCTATCATTTACTCGGTCTTCCACCAAATGAATTATAATGACCTCCTGATTATACCAAATACGAGAACAAAAATAACTTGAATGCAGAAGTACATAAGGGCAATATCAAAAAAAAAAAATCAAATTTTTACAGTGTAGAAGTAAAAGGTTGCTGCCCATTTCATATATATTTTTTCTCATTTCTCCAAATTGTCCAACACAAATATATGACAACATCTGGCTTCCACCTTGATTCCAGATCACATTCTATGTTGGTTATATATGAAATCATACATAAGATGAAGCTCAAAAATAGAAAAAAGGGGGAAAAAAAAAGAAAGCACATTTAAGAATCAGAATTAGAGGAACCTGAGACTCTAGGGGAAGTCACCGGAAACAAAGGCAAAAGTCGGGGCTCCGATTCCCTCGGAGTAGTCGCCGGCGACGGATGCAAAAAGAACCCTTTTTTTGCAATTGCTTTCTCTTCTGCATCCAAATCCAAATTCTCACTACTCACACTGACACCACCACTGTGCGGTGACCGGTTAAACGGGTCGTGTATGAGAGGAGTAACCGGACTAAGCACCAGCGATGGAAAATCAAGAATGCTCGGCGACAAAATCTCCGGCGTCGCAGTTCTCGGGGAACCCGAAAACCCAGTAGAGAAAACGGATTTATTCACAACCCCAGGGCCCAATGGGCTGATTTTGAAGTTCTTCATGCTGTTCCTTCTCTCATACAGCTTTGAACTGGATTTCTCCTTCTTGGGCCCGGTTTTAATGGGCGGGATATGATGTCTAACAGGCTCAGCCCGACCCGGAGTAGCTGCAACCTTGGCGGTTTCAGAGGACCCAGTAAGCATTTGAACTACCTGTTTGAAAGAGGAAGCATCAGCTTGGACGAAGGTAGTCGGGTACGGGTTGTTGGGTTCGGATCTGGTGATGGGTAGTTGTGGTGGTAGTGCTGGCGGAGTAGCAGGTGTTGGGGTGGTGGGCGGTGTAGGGTAGCGGTGGTGAAGACCATTGGAGTTGCCGCTATTGCTACAGCTTGAACTGTTGGAGCTATGGCTATCTGGGGATGAAATAAGACATGGGTTTCTAAATTCTTGAGGTTTTGCTAAGGTTTCCATTGATGCGTCTGTTTTTTTCTAGAGAGAGAAAAAAACCAGTTGAGTTAAGGTGAACTTTAATAAGAGAAGCTTCAGAACAAGGGCATTAGGGGGAATGGGGTAGGTGGGGTAGGGGGAGAGAAAGAGTTGAAGAATGAGAGAGAGGTTTTAAGAGAGAAGTTTGGCATTTTTGCATCACTTTGTTACTTTCTTTAGTTTGGTAAGAAATGTTTTGTTGCAAACTGAGAGTCAGTTATACACGCGCTGCATCGGCGCGTGAGTGATACAACGACACGAATGCCGGTAACTTCTTTAGTGCGGGGAGGCAGCGGCGGCTTTAAGTGGTGTTACTGTTACGCGGCGGTGAAGGGCGGTGGGAGTGAAAGTCCAACTGGTACCAGGCTATTGGTGATTGATCATTGGAGTTTAGACTTTAGACCAGGGGAGATAAATAAAAAACTGCGAAATAAGTTTCAATGTTTGCCATTGACTTAAAGGGCCCTACTTGAAATTGAAAGCTGACTATAGTCATGTAAATATATGAGGTGGGTCCTATTCTTTGTATTTGTTTTTATTTGTTTTTTAACTTTTGGATTTGGGGAAGTGCAAGTGGTGCACTAATCAAGGTTAGAATGAAGGCTTGAAAATAATTATAATACTAAATGTTGATTATTTCTCTGATTGATCCAACGTAAACATTAAATATTTTTAAATGAATTTAATTTTCTATTCAACAAAATATTATCCAAGCGTCCATCTTCTCGTTGATAATCGATGACAGAACACGAAGGTGAGGTAACTTGTCTTTTGCTTTCATTGATAATTCTCCCATTTGAGTAAAAAAATATAAACACCCATTGCTTCTTTGGAATAATTTCTCTTATAGTAAAGAGAAGTATCTTGTCACACACTTTCTTTTCGAATGATAAAGAAAAACTGAGTAACCTTTGATATCAAATTTGATATTGTTATAAAATAAAAGTAACTTAGTAAAATATGAACAAGACATGTTGTTATGAAATAAAAGCAATTTAGTAAAACATGAACAAGAAATGGAGATAGAGAGAAGAAAGAGATTTTCTTCTTCAATTGTGTGTATTTTCCTATCTATTACAAGGCCTTTATATAGGCATTAAAGTGAAGAAAAATATGTCATTGAATATGTCATTAAGCATAAAAATATGTCATTGAATATATCATTAAGCATTTGAGAAGATCATAGAGGAAGAATAGACATCCACCATAATTTGATTTTTCTTATAACACTCCCCCTTGGATGTTCATAGATAATGTGCCTCGTTAAAACCTTATTAGGAAAAAACCCTATGGGAAAAAAATCTTAATGAAGGAAAAAGAGTACACATGTTTAGAAATACGCCTTTTGGTTGCCTCGTTAAAAACCTTGCAAGGAAAACCCAGTGGGACAAAATCTTGTAAGAAAAAAAGAGTACAACGCGTATTAACTCCCCCTGATGAGAGCATCAATTCACATCCTTGAGCCTTCGCATCCCAATCTTGTACACTAGTTTCTTGAAGGTTGACGTCGGTAGAGATTTGGTGAACAAATCAGCCATATTATCACTTGAACGGATCTGTTACACATTGATATCACCATTCTTTTGAAGATCATGTGTGAAAAATAACTTTTGTGAAATGTGTTTTGTCCTATCCCCTTTTATGAATCCTCCCTTCAACTGGGTTATGCATGTTACATTATCTTCATACAAAATTGTGGGTAGTTTGTCACACTTCAAACCACATTTGTCTCGAATAAAGTGTATTATAGACCTCAACCATACATATTATCGACTTGTTTCATGAATAGTAATTATCCCAGCATGATTAGATGAAGTAGTCACGATTGATTGCTTAGTCGATCGCCAAGATATGGCAGTGCCTTCATATGTAAACACATAGCCTGTTTGAGATCAAACCTTTTGTGGGTCATATAAATACCCAGTATTGGCATAACCAACAAGATCAGGACTGCAATCATTGCCATAAATTAATCCCATATCGGTAGTCCCTTTTAGATACCATAACATATGTTTGATTCCATTCCAATGTCTCCTTGTGGGAGCAGAGCTATATCTTGTTAATACATTAACTGAAAAAATTATGGCAGACCTTTTAATGTTAGAAAGATACATTAGTGTACCCATTGCACTAAGATATAGTACGTCGGGACCAAGACGCTTTTCATTATTTTCATGAGGTCGAAATGGATGTGCTTTATCCATATAAAATCGTTTTAAAATTATTTTAGTGTATGCTGATTGATGGACAAAAATTCCATCTTTCATATACTCAATTTGTAGACCAAGACAAAATTTTGTCTTTTCAAGATCTTTTATTTCAAATTCTTTCTTTAAATAGTCTACTACTTTAGGAAGCTCTACTGCTTTAGGAAGCTCCCTAGGAGTTCTGATGATATTTAAATCATCAACATACACGGTGATTATAACAAATTTAGATCCAGATCTTTTTATAAAGATACAAGGACAAATTGAATCATTCTTGTACCCTTCTTTCAACAGGTACTCACTCAGGCGATTATACCACATGCACCCCGATTGTTTCAATCCGTATGAGGATTTTTGAAGCTTTATTTAATAAATTTCTTGGAAACCTTAATATGCTTCAGAACAATTTAAATTCTTCAATAATTTTCATTATACGCATATCCCGTTTTTTTTTTGTATTGCCAGATTAAAACCTGAAATAACGACATCCACCACAGGAGAACATGTCTATATATAATCAATGCCAGGATATTTATAAATCTTCTTGTGAAACAAGTCGTCTTTATGTCTATCGACTTGACCTTTTTTCACACAAGAACGCATTTATACCTCCACTGGCTTTATACTTTCAGGTGTTGGGACTATCCGTCCAACTTCATATTTTTCAGGTGAAATCAATTTT